AGCATCATAGCCCACAGCAACCTCAAATTCTTGGGCTCAAGTGATTCTCTTGCCTCAGCCTCCCAAGTAGCTGGGACTACAGGCCTGTGCCACCACATCTGCCTAATTTTTTTCTATTTTTAGTAGAGATGGGGTCTCCCTCTTTCTCAGACTGGTCTCAAACTCCTGAACTCAAGCAATCCACCCACCTTGGTCTCCCAGAGTGCTAGGATTACAGTTATGAGCCACCATAACTGAATTATAGTTATGTGCCCGGCCCCTGACTGAATTTAACCAAGTTTCTAGATCTAACTACCATTTTACATGAAATCCTGGGGATAGAGGAACATATTGATTAAAACCATGAGGATACAATTCGCCAAATCCAGAATGTTAAGCAGTCTTTAAGACAAATGATTCATTCTCTTTAACAAATAAATGGCATGGAGAATATATAAAAACAGAACTGTTACAGATTTTAAAATATGTAAAGAAACATATAAACCAAATGCAATGTGTAGACTTTGAATCTAGATTTAAATAAGCCAACTGTTAAAAGACAGTTTTGAGACAATTGGAAAAAAATTGAACAGTCTTGATATTAGATACTATTAAGGAATTATTAATTTTATTGTTATGATAATGCTTTCTGGAAGGTTTAAAATGTGTGTTTGAAATTTTTCATGATAAAGAATTTTAATTAATGGAGCTATTTTCCCGCAATGTAAACTTCTTTTTTTTTACAATGTAAACTTTTTTTTTTTTTTTGGTTGGGGCTGGGTTTGAACCCACCACCTTCAGCATATGGGGCCAGCACCCTACCCTTTTGAGCCACAGGCACCGCCCTACAATGTAAACTTCTAAAGATATACATAGTGGTCTGTTGATATAAATGTCTCCTTATTAGTGCTGAGTATTATTATATATTATGTTAATGCCTTTTTCTTTTTTGAGACATAGTCTCAAGCTGTCATGCCACAGCATCATAGCTCACAGCAACCCCAAACTCTTGGGCTCAAGCGATTCTCTCGCCTCAGCCTCCCAAGTAGCTGGGACTACAGGCACCACCACAACAGCTGGCTGTTTTGTTGTTGTTGTTGTAGTTGTCATTGTCGTTTTAGCTGGCCCAGTCTGGATTCGAACCCATCAGCCTTGGTGTATGTGGCCGGCACCCTACTCACTGAGCTATGGGTGCCCCCCTGTTAATGCCGTTTAAATACAAAAATGCGGTTAGGTACTAGAGTTTCGCCTATCATTGCTCACTGTGGCTTGTTAGGCCTTGGAATTTGTCTATAAATAAGTTTTCTTTGCACTGCAAGGTCTTGCCACAAAAAAAAAAAAAAAAGTTTTGGCTTGACTAGGGTGCCAGCCACATACACAAGGGCTGTTGGGTTCGAACCTGGCCCCTGGCCTGCCAAACAATGACAACTACAGCAACAACAACAACACATGGCCAGGTGTTGTGGTGGGGGCCTATAGTCCCAGCTACTTCAGAGGCTGAGGCAAGAGAATTGATTGAACCCAAGAGTTTGAGGTTGCTATGAGCTATGACATCACAGCACTCTACCACGGGCAACATAGTGAGACTCTGTCTCAAAAAAAAAAAAAAAGAACCAAAAAAATTTTCTTATTTTTGTGGGATAATATACAAAAGTACAGTATTTATTTCTAGCACCTAACCTAATGAGTGACAGATAATAGGCATTTAAATATGTGATAGCTACTCTAAAGTAGTTTATCATTTCCATGCTATTAGGAAATACTTTGAGAATTAAAGCTATAAGTTAATGATATCCTGGCAGATATCTTCCTAAAGTATCATTTTATTATAATAGTCCCCTGTTAAGAACCCCCGTGGGTAATACTGCATTAACTCTAAATCCCTCCACCTCACTTTGGGTGTGTATAGTAAAATGCATAAAAGATTTGCCATTTGTGACATTTAGTATAGTCACAATATTATACAACTACCACCACTATCTTGTTCCAGAACATTTCTCATGCCCCTAAAAAAAAAAATAAACTGCACCCATAAAGATGTCACTCCCTATTTCCTGTCCCCCTCACCCTTGGCCGCCACTAAACTTTCCGTCTTAATGCCTATTCTGGGTATTTCATCTGACTGGCTTGTAAATCTTTCAGAATCTTGCTACATCTTGTCTACCTAAATTTATTTTTTTTGTATTTCACAAAGTAGAACTTCTACTGCAAGAATGATAATCTACTCCCCATTTCTCTGTACACGTCATACTCATGTCTACCTTTGGGTCATTGTGAGGCTGATCCTAACCATGCTCCTGCAGTTCTCTCCTGTTTTTTCTTTCTTTTTTTTTTGCTTCTATTTTTTTATTTTTTATTAAATGATAGCTGTGTACATTAATGCAAATATGGGGTACAATGTAGTGTTTTCATATACAATTTGAAATATTTTCATCAAACTGGTTAACATAGACTTTATGTCATTTACTTAGTTATTGTCTCCTGTTTTTTCTGTGTTTATACACATTATTTAAAGTTCTTCTCTACTCAGTGGAGCCTTTCCTAACCATTCCAGTGATACATCATCCTGCTGTTCCAGACTTCTGGTGACTTTAATAAGTGCCACATAGATTATCACTTGTTTTATCTACCTGAACATAGAACATTCAATATATATCCTAATGATTCTAACACGGTGTAAGGTACACAGAACTTGCTTAGTAAATGCTCATTTAATGATTAATAAAATTATAATGGGTAATATTTAATAAGGATTTATTATTTGACAAGCACTTTGCTAAATGCTTCATATGCATTATCTCCCTTAATCCTTATACAAATCCTACAAAAGTTTCTATTCTCCTCCTTTTACAGATGAGAAAAATTGATAACCAGAGAAAAGTATGGATTTAACCAAGGTTCTGCAGTTTGATAATTCTTCGTAGAGAGGGGATTTGAAGTTAAAGTCTCTCTGACTCCCAAAGCCCCGTGTTTTTTAACCTCTATGTTATATTGCCTTCTTATATGTTTCAATAATGTAATATGAATAAATATTTTAAGGCTAACTACCAACTGTAATAATGTATGCAAAGTACCCAATAAATGCCCAATACATGTTAGCTGTTGTTATTTAGTGTATAAAACAAACACATCTCAGGAAAGCACTGAAAAAGCGAATGACAAACTGAAGAACTAGGTGACCAGAGACAGCTTTTTAGAGCCTCACTGTTAACAATGGTAAAACCTATATAATGGAAATGAAGCAAAATTTTAAAACATTCTACCTTAAGTAATTTTTAAATGGTTATCCATTAAGGAGCAGAATTCTAAAATCTGTCTTCACTTTGTCCTTAACAAAACAAAATTCCTAGCCTGGAAAAACCAGATGTGAATCAATAAATAGTGGAACCTATTACGGCAATCAAGGAACCTCCTGAGGTCAATTAAACTTAATGAGCCAATCTTAGGGTACAAATTTTTAGGACTAAAGGTCATCTAAAATCAAGGGAATTTTTTACCTGATTTGGGACTCCGGAGTTTTACACTCTGAAAGAAAAAAGAAAGGAAAAGTAAAAGAAGAATATATATATATATATATATATACAAATTGTACAAGTTCAAAACAAAAAATGGCACTTTTGAAACTATATATCATATACCTATAAAGGTGGTTATAAAATATAAACTCTTTTTCCTCATTCATAAGTGTGCTGAATCACAAAAGGCATTCTTAACTCTTTTTTTTTTAGAGACAAGGTCTTACTTTATTGCCCTCGGTAGAGTGCTATGGTGTCACAGCTCACAGCAACCTCCAGCTCTTGGGCTTTGGTGATTCTCTTGCCTCAGCCTCCCAAGTAGCTTGGACTACAGGCACCCACCATATATGACCAGCTATTTTTTTGTTACAGTTTCTTTTTTTTTTTTTTTTTTAGACAGAGCCTCAAGCTATCCCCCTGGGTAGAGTGCCATGGCATCACAGCTCACAGCAACCTCCAGCTCTTGGGCTTTGGTGATTCTCTTGCCTCCTCCCAAGTAGCTTGGACTACAGGCACCCACCACAAACGCCCAGCTATTTTTCTGGTACAGTTTCAATGGGGCCAGGTTCAAGCCCGCCACCCTCCGTATAAGGGGCCAGTGCCCTACCCACTGAACCACAGGCGCCACCCACATTCTTACAGTGATTTTTATTTGCTTGTTTTGAGACAGTCTCACTTTGTTGCCCTCAGTAGAGTACTGTACTGCCATAGCTCACAGAAACCTCAAACTCTTAGGCTAAAGCAATTCTCTTATCTCAGCCTCCCCAGTAGCTGGGACTACAGGCACCTGCCACAACCCCTGGATATTTGTTAGAGACAGGGTCTCACACTTGCAGTCTACCCACTTTGGCCTCCCAGAGTGCTAGGATTACAGGCGTGAGCCACCACACCCAGCTTCTTACAGTGATTTTTATATCCCGTGGTAATTAGTCCTAAATCGATCACCCTCTGACTTCTTTCCTACTTAGAACATCTCCCTGAAAATTTAGTGAGATAAATTGTCAGTATTGAAGTTACTTCATGACATTGGAAAATGAGTGATTGTTCTTTGCTTTGGGAGTTGTTAGGATAAAGACCATTAGCTCATGCCTGTAATCTTAACACTTTGGGAGACTGAGGCCAGAGGATCACGTGAGCCCAGAGGATGGTCAAGGAGTTTGAGCTCAGGGATTTGAGATCAGCCTGGGCCGCATAGCAAGACTCCATCACTACAAAAAAAAAAAAAAAAGGGAAAATATTGCCAGGTGTGGTGGCATGCACCTGTAGTCCTAGTTATTCAGGAGCCTGAGGAAAGAGAACTGTTTGCTTGAATCCAGGAGTTCGAGGCTGCAGTGAGATATGATAATACCACTGCACTCTAACCTGGGCAACAGAGCAAGACCCTATCTCAAAAATAAATCAATAAATAAATACCACTATATAAGTGCATATTATGAACAAGAATACCAATTACTAGCACATTAAAACTGTAATTTTTTTTTTTTTTTTAAGACAGAGTCTCACTATGTTGCCCTCGGAGTATCATGATATCACAGCTCACAGCAACCTCAAACTCTTGGGCTCAAGCGATCCTCTTGCCTCAGCTTCCCAAGTACCTGGGACTACAGGCGCCCACCACAAAGCCCAGCTATTTTTGTTTGTTTAGCAAGCTTGGAGCAGGCTTCAAATCCACCAGCCCCGGTGCATGTAGCCAGCACCCTAACCGCTGAGCTATGGGCTCCAGGCCTAAAATTGTAATTTAAAAAGTAGACAATATTTGCCTGCCAGCATTGTAATTGTAGGACATTTTAAATGTTTGTTTAATTAACTGCTTTGTTGGTATCTGAAATGTTATGATAATTGGTATGCAGAATATACTGAAATGCATAACATTGTTGAAGTGTAGATTTTTTCTTCCAGAAGTAGGAAATGTTATTCCAAAATATATCTTAAATAATGTGCACATCTGTCATTCAGACAAATTGGACTCCATGATACATTATCACAGCTTACATGATACAGCCTGCCAAACTTATGAAACGTTTATTTTTGCCTTAACTATCCTTCAAGAATTGGTTCAAACGTTTCCTCTTCCACTAAATCTTCCTTGATCATTTCCAACCTGATAGGATCTCCCACACTTCTGAATTTCTTTATTTTTCATATGGCATTGATCAGACTTGCCTTGCTATAATAAATACAGATAAAAATAGAGACTTAGGTACACATCCTTTATCTCTACTGCTAGACTACAAGTTTCTTATGGGCAACAATTGTGTCTTATACAACTTTTTTAGCATCTATATCCCATAGTACATTGTTTATATTTAGTATTTCCTAAATATATATATATTTTTACTTGCAACAGAGTCTTACTATGTCACCCTCAGTAGAGTGCTATGGCATCACAGCTCACAGCAACCTCAAACTCTTGGGCTGAAGAGATGCTATTGCCTCAGCCTCCCAAGCAGCTGGGACTACAGGCACCCACCACAATGCCCCACTATTTATTGGTGTTGTTGTCATTGTTGTTTAGCAGGCCCAGGCCAGATCTGAACCCATTAGCCCTAGTGCATGTAACTGGCACCTTAACCGCTGATCTACAGGTGCTGAGCCTTAATTTTTTTTTTTTTTTTTTAGACAAGAGTCTCACTATGTTGCCCTGGGTAGAATGCCCTGGTGTCACCATAGTTCACAGCAACCTCAAACTCTTGGGCTTCAGCAATCCTGTTGTAGTCCCTGAGTAGCTGGGACTATAGTTGTCCACTGCTACAGCTGGCTAGTGTTTCTGTTTTGGTAGAAATGGGATCTCACTCTCGCTCAGGCTGGTCTGGAAATCTTGGGCTCAAGCAATCCACCAACAGCCTCCTAGAATGCTAGGACTTACAGCCACAAGTCACCGCACCAGGCCAGCTTAATATTTATTGAATGATAGGTGTTAAAAATTCAACAGAGTAGAACTGTTCTCTATTAAATACAAATGAATAGAGTCAGAAAAAAAGTTATTGACCTTGCTTGGTCTAAGTCTCACAGAGTCATCAAATTTCTTTGGTTCAGATGTTCCACTCCATTCCAGTGATGTACCAATTTTTACCTTCACAGTTGAGGAAAAGGATTTGGGAACAATTGATGAGAATTCTCCTGGAAGAAAGCAAATACAGTCTAATTCTTAGGAGTGGTATTCTTTTAGAAATCAAATGTTGCACAGCAAACAGCACATAAGATATCGAAAAGACCCAAGACACATTTTATTTTATACTTACTGAACTATACTCACCAGCTTCCTCTACCACAATAAATGATTCAGGAGTTCGTTCAGGAAGTGGAGGGGGAATTTCATCATCTATCCTTGCAGGAGTTGCTATCCAAAATGTCAGAAATATAATCACATTTGTTAATTAGAACAATCCAAAGGAAATTCTTCCATATATTCTAATCTCATATTAAATATAAATGTAACAATTTATATTTAAATTTCACTGAAGTACCATTAACAATAGTTAAGTTGACATTGTATTTGTTTACTCAAGGAAAAAGCAAAATAAATTATCTCATTTTAAGATGTAGACCCAGAAAGTTGTTGTTTATTCCCCAGTTTTTTTTGTTTGTTTGTTTTTTGAGACAGAGTCTAAAGCTGGGCCTGGGTAGAGTGCTGTGGCGTCACAGCTCACAGCAACTTCAGACTCTTGGGCTTAATCAATTCTCTTGCCTCAGCCTCCCAAGTAGTTGAGACTACAGGTGCCCACCATAAGGCCTAGCTATTTTTTTTTTTGCAGTTGTCATTGTTGTTTTAGCAGGCTCAGGTTGGGTTTGAACCCACCAGCCCCAGTATATGTGGCCAGTGCCCTTACCCACTGAACTACAGGCACCACCTATTCTCCAGTTTTTATTATGTGTTTTAAAAGCCCAGAAGTATTTTGATGAAGTCACTGAGTATTAGTCAACATAACCTAAAACAATATATTAATTTAAGAAGCTTGGGCTGTTTTCTACATAACTCTTTCCTTTTGTTTCACATAGAATATACAATAAAGCATCATAAGGAACTTTGATATGCCAAAGATTAAGTTATACAGTAGGCAGAATCATAAATATTTTAGTATCTCTTCTTCATTCCACACAGAGACCAAGCATATGGGTGTTTTTCCTTTTTAAAACACAATAGTAAAACACAGTTTTCTATATTTCTGTAGAAACATTGAGAATTTGTACAGAAAAATTTAAATGTTATTATAAGAAACTGCCACCAGAGGGCACACATGTCAATGTTGCTGCAATCTCTGAAAATAATGACTTAGTTTTTGATGATGTTCAGAGTAATCTAAGGTATTCTAGGTATCTAGAAAAAGAAAATACTTTTAAATTGTAAAACAAGATTAAAATGTATAAAATAATCTAATTGAGGAGGAATTCCCTAGGTCTCGATAAACTATTTTTCCAACAAAGTTACAAATGATCTATACATCTGTTAGAAAAGTCTATAAAATAAGTAATATTATAGAACAAACGTTTTCTCTACTTCCTATATAGGTAGAATATACTTTATAAATTATCTGATGAGGCCAGACACAGTGGCTCATGTCTTTAATCCTAGCACTCTGGAAAGATGAGGCAAGTGGATTGCTTGAGCTCAGGAGTTTGAGACCAGCCCCAGCAAGAGTGAGACCTGTTTCTACTACAAAAAAGAACTAGCCGGGTGTTGTGGTAGGCACCTGTAGTCCCAGCTACTTGGGAGGCTGAGGCAAGAAGATTGCTTCAGCTCAAGAGGTTTTTTTTGTTTTGTTTTGTTTTTGAGACAGAGCCTCAAGCTATCCCCCTGGGTAGAGTGCTGTGGCATCACAGCTCACAGCAACCTCCAACTCCTGGGCTCAAGCGATTCTCTTGCCTCAGCCTCCCAAGTAGCTGGGACCACAGGCGCCCACCACAATGCCCAGCTATTTTTTGGTTGCAGCCGTCATTGATGTTTGGCGGGCCTGGGCTGGATTCAAACCCGCCACCTTAGTGTGTCTGTATGTGGCTGGCGCCTTAGCCACTTGAGCCACAGGCGCTGAGCCTGCTCAAGAGTTTGAGGTTGCTGTGAGCTCTGATGACACCATGGCACTCTACCCAGGGTGACAAAGTAAGACTGTGTCTTAATAAATAAATAAATAAATAATTAAATAACAAATTTAAAATAAATAATTTGATGATATGCCTAAGGGAGCTAAACTCACTCATTTCTTTCTCTTATCTTCTCTCACATCAAATTATTATAATCATCTATAACAGGATATTTACTTCTGCTTGCAAGCTGCTCAATAAAACAAAACAATATGCATAATATAAAAAATAACGAATTATAAAAGAGGTAAAATTTGAAAGTAAAGCTGTAGATAAGATAAAAATTTTACATAAAATCCCAAACACATATTCTCATCTATGTTATTACGAAAGAGCAAGAAATCAAGTCTTCCCCTTCTAACTTCTGCAGGAAGAGAATTCGGTTTTTTAGCAATGTGTTCAATTCATTATAGCCATACAACTGAGCAACAAAAACTTGGGATGACCATGTGGTGCTGTTGATAACATTGTTTCTGCTGTTCTTTTGGAAGCTGTGTCTATATGTCAAGGGTAAATTGTGGGCCTTTGATTTAGGTACATTTCTAGAAATGAGAATTGCCTTCTGCAGAAGCATTCTTGCTAGCACAGATCCTGTACCAGATCTGACTGCCTCCACTGCTGTTTCATGAAATACTACATGTTTTTTTTTTATTTTTTATTTTTATGAGACAGAGTCTCACTATGTCCCCCTCAGTAGAGTGCCATGGTATCACGGCTCACAGCCACCTCAAGCTCTTGGGCTTAAGCAATTCTCTTGCCTCAGCCTCCCAAGTAGCTGGGACTACAGGTGCCCACCACAAGACCCAGAAATTTTTGGTTGGAATGGTCATTGTTGTTTGGCAGACCTGGGCTGGATTTGAAGCTGCCAGCTCTGGTATATGTGGCTGGCACCCTAGCCACTGAGCTACAAGCGCCAGCAGAAATGTTACATGTTTAATGTTGCTATTTTCAACTTACTACATTACTAAGACACTCCTGAGATTTACTTCTTTGAGGATGAGAAGGAAGTACAGGAGAAGGGAGAAGGTGGAACAAAGGGAAATCTAAAATCTTATACAAACTTTAAAAAAATAACTTACCCACCACTGCTGCCTCTTGGTTCATTGGGGAAGGAAAATTGGATGGAGGATTTAGTGCTAAAGAATCGTGTGAATTGTAATAAGAAAAGGCAGTTGTAGAGGATGTTGGCAACAAAGAACCAGGTAAAACAGTTCCATCTTCCTTCTCCGGTAAATCAAGAGACATCTTAGAACCAGTACTGCTTGGAGACAATGATGAAAAATGGGGATCTTCTACTAAAGACATATCAGAATCTTCACTATAACCGCTGGACTGCTTTACATTCGAGGCGTCACATATCTGGTGCTCAGAGTTACAGGGCAGTGAACAATTCAGTTCTGTTGAAGAAACGCACATCACTTTCTGAGCCTGCAACTCCACAAGACAAGAATCATGTCGTCGAGATTCCAAAGAAGAAAACTTTTCCTTCATGTCCAACTCCTCAGTTTCTCTCTGCCGTATCAATTCAAAGGGAGTTGATTTGGTCCGTATTATTGGCTCTTTTGAATTAAAGTATCTTCCTGCTGCATTTACAGGTTTAGAATTAGGACATGCCTGAGACAAAATAGAGCTCAAGTCCAAACTTTGATGCTTCTGAAGAGGTTCCCCAACGATTGGAAATGCCCTCGTCTGCCATTTCATGGTCCTGTCAGCATTTTTGTTACAATCATAATTTAGCTCCAAAAAGTCAAAAGAAGTGCTCAGTTTAGCACTTCCAGGGTGCAAAACCAACCCTTCCTTTGTGTTTATTTCGGAAGTCCTAAAGTCAAAGGAAGAAACTCCTGCATTTTCCAGCTCTGTCCTTTGCTGGCCCTGTTGGCTCATCACTTTTGCTTCTTTCATGATGCTGAAACAGACAAACAAAAGAGCAATGCTGATACCCTACCCCCAAAAGGCCTCTTCCCAGCACCATAACCGTGTAAAATGAGATTCCTCTCCCAGATGCGACATCCCTGTCCACCCCCTGCTAAGACAGGATTTTATTAGACAGAAAGGAATACAGAAGCAGTAAAGAGGCATCAGAGCTTCTGGCAAAGGGGAAGACCCAAGTCAGAAGTCTGTCTCTCGGGTCCTTTGTCTAGGGGAGATGCAACATTTCACGCACAAAATCATACTCACCTTTTTGGTGGATTCAGAGTATAAGAGTCTGCTGGTAGAGTGTGACTTGGCTCAGAAACTGAACACTTTCCTTGACTCTTCAAGAGAAATAAATTAAGAGATTGGTTTTTACTAAAGTAATCTCAATGAGATATTTTAATATTTAGAAGGCTGGGAAGTAATTTTTTGGAAAATATGAAAATTTTAAATAATTCCTGAAAATTCTGGCTCCTGCCTATAATCCCAGAACTCTGGGAGTCTGAGGCTGGTGGATCACTTGAGATCATGAGTTTGAGACTAGCCTAAGCAAGAGCGAGACCCCATCTCTAAGGGAAAAAAACTAGCTGGGCATTGTAGCCACTACCCATAGTCCCAGCTACTTGGGAGGCTGAGGCAAGAGGATTACTTGAGCCCAAGAGTTTGAGGTTGCTGTGAGCTATGACACCATAGCATTCTACCAGGGGCAATAAAGTGATACTCAGTCTCCAAAAAAAAATTCATGAAAAGGTTAGATGAGCTTCTAAAATATGGAAGCTAGCAAGAACTTGTTCATATACTGATATCAAAATGACAAGAATAAAAGATTAACAGTGTGTATATGTGGTGGCTGTGCCTGTAATCCTAGCACTCTAGGACGCTGAGGTAGGAGAATTGCTTGAGGCCAGGAGTTCAAGACCAGCCTGAGCAAGAGCAAGACCCAGTCTCCACAAAAAATAAAAAACTTATCCAGGTGTGACAGTATATGCCTGAAGTCCCAGCTATTTGGGAGGCTGAGGCAGAAGGATCAATTGAGCTCAGGAGTTTGAGTTTGCAGCAGACTGTGATGACACCACTGCACGTTAGCCCAGGCAACAAAGTGAGACTCTATCTCAAAAAATAATAATAATAGGCTCGGCGCCTGTGGCTCAAGAGGCTAAGGCGCCAGCCACATACACCTAAGGTGGTGGGTTCGAATCCAGCCCCGACCCGCCAAACAACAAGGACAGCTGCAACCAAAAAATAGCCGGGCGTTGTGGCAGGTGCCTGTGGTCCCAGCTACTTGGGAGGCTGAGACAGGAGACTCGCTTGAGCCCAGGAGTTGGAAGTTGCTGTGAGCTGTGAAGCCACGGCACTCTACCCAGGGGGATAGCTTGAGGCTCTGTCTCAAAAATAATAATAATAATAATAACTGTGTGATTAAAACTAAAAAGGATTTGCTTTTATCTTCAAATTTTCAAATGGGCGCTTTAAGATGCTCTTGGGGAGTAACTTCAATCTCAAGAACACTCCACCTTCAGAAATTTCAGCGTCTCACCCCTAAAGTTAATAGGAGTTTAGTAGGTCCCTGTACCTGCCTCATCTATCTTGTTCTACCTTTTTCTTCGCAGTCTAGGCAGATAGGTTTTTTGCCATTCTTTTAGCATGCCAAATTCCCTTCCAATTCAAGGCTTTACACTTCCTGTCCCCTCTGACTGATGTACTTCTGCTCCAGAGTTTGGGTGGCTCTTTCATAGTGATTCCTCTCTGGTTAACTGTCATCAGCAATAAAAAAACCTTCCCTGACCACCCAACCTACAATCACATTTCAGCCCCTATCCAACCACTCTCAATCTTTAATTCTTATTTCAATAGCAAATATCATGTTATGAAACTTGTTACTGTAATTCATGGAATTCTTTTTCTTTTGAGACAGGGTCTCACTCTGTCACCTTGGCTAGAGTGTAGTGGCACAATTCAGCTCACTATAGCCTTGAACTCCTGCGTTCCAACAATCCTTCTGTTTTAGTCTTCCAAGCATCTGGGATTACAGAAGCATACTGCCACCCTCAGATAATTTTTTTTTTTTTTTTGAGAAAGAGTCTCACTCCATTGCCCCAGTGCCATGGTGTCATCATAAATCCCATAGCAACCTCAAACTCTAGGGCTCAAGAGATTTCTCTTGCCTAAGTCTCTCGAATAACTGGGACTACAGGTACCCACCACAACACCCGGCTAGTTTTTCTATTTTTAGTAGAGAGGAAGTCTCACTCTTGCTTAGGCTGTTCTCAAACTCCTGAGCTCAAGCAGTCTACCTGCCTTGGACTCCCAGAGTGCTAGGATTACAGGCATGAGCCACCATGCTTAGCCTAGAACCTTCTTTTTGAGACAGAGTCTCACTATGTTACACTCAGTAGAGTGCCGTAGCGTCACAGTTCATAGCAACCACAAACTCCTGGGCTCAAGCGATTCTCCTGCCTCAGCCTCCTGAGTAGCTGGGACTGTAGGTGCCCACCACAACACCCAGCTATTTTTTGGTTGCAGTTGTCATTGTTAGCAGGCCTGGGTGGGCTTGAACTTGCCAGCCTCGGTGTATGTGGCTGGCGGCCTACTCGCTGAGTTATGGTACCACCATTTTTTATTTATTTATTTATTTTTGAGATAGGGTCTTGTTCTGTCACCCGTCAGAGTTCAGTAGCATGATCGTAGCTTACTGCCACCTCAAACTCCTATAATACAAAGCATATTCTATAAAACAAATCCCATTAAATGGCAATATGGAGAGTCCTGCATGTAATATCTAGAACATTTTGAATTACCTCTATTTATTCCTTGGCTTTATTTTTTTGCTTGGTTGGGGTTTTTTGATTGTTGTTGTTTGTTTGAGACAGAGTCGCACTCTGTCATCCCAGCTAGCATGCAGCACTGTGATCACCACTTACCATAATTCCGACTCCTGGGCTCTGCCCCCATGTGACTGGGACTACAGGTGCACCCCACCACACCCAGCTAATTTTTCTATTTTTACTAGAGACAGAGGTCTCACCCTTGCTCAAGCTGGTCTTGAACATCTGACCTGAAGCGACCCTCCTGCCTCGTCCTCCCAGAGGGCTAGGATTACGGACATGACCCGCTGCACCCAGCCTACATAAGCCTGTTTAAAAACTCACAAAAGTCCCGAAAAGATTTCTCAAAAGAAGATATACAAATGGTCCACACGGGTACATGAAAAAATGTTCAGCATCACTAATCATGAGGGTAATGCAAATTAAAACCACAAAATAATATTTCACACTTGTTAGGATGGCTATGATCAAAAGGCCAAGATACAAACAAATGTTAGCAAAAAGGGCACACCAGCACACTGTTGGGGGTGTGTGTAAATTAATACAGCCATTATGGAAAACAATATGAAGATTCCTCAAAAAATTAAACTACAGCTACCATACGGTCCAGTAATTCAACTCACTACATCAAAAAGCTATCCACGCTCTCACGTTCATTGCAGTGTTACAACAGCCAAGACACAGAATCAATCTTAGTGTTCATCAGCGGATGAATGAGTACGGAAATGTAATATGTCATACACAGTGGAATATCAGACAGTCTTAACATTAAAAAAAGGAAATCCTGTCATTGGTGACAATATGAACGAGCCTAGAAGACATTATGCTAAATGAAATAATCCAGACAGGCAGAACAAATATTGCATGATCTCACGTATATGTGGAGTCTGAGAAAGTCAAATTCATGGAAGCAGAAAGTAGAATAGTCATCAGGGGCTGGGAGAGATGTAGGGGGAGGTACCGCTGAGGGGGGTTGGTTAAAGGATACAAAATTTCAGCTAGAGATCTATTGTAACAACACAGTGACTATAGTTATAAACAATGTATTGTAGACTTGAAGATTATTCTAGCATTCTGGGAGGCAGAGCTAGGTAGATTGCTTGAGCTCAGGAGTTGGGAAACAGGCCTGAGCAAGAGCAAGACCCTGTCTCTACTAAAAATAAAAAAATAGCTAAAAATTAAAAATACCCTCTAAAATAGTCCCCGCTACTCTAGAGGCTGAGGTAGGAGGATTACTCAAGCCCAAGAATTTGAGGTTGCTGTGAGCCATGATGATGCAACAGCACTCTACCCAGGGGGACGCAGTAAGACTCTGTGTCCAAAAAAAAAGGAAGAAGAAGGAGGAGGAAGAGGAGGAGAAGAAGGGGAAGAAGAAGGAGAAGAAGAAGAGGAAGAGGAAGAAGAAGGAAGAAGAAGGAAGAAAAGAAAACTGCTGAGAGAATAGATTAAAAATGTTAACACATTTTTAAACACAAAAAAAAAGTGCATGAGATAATGGATATGTTAATTAGTTTAATTTAGCCGTTCTTACAGTGTATCCATATATGAAAACTTGGTGAACACCATAAAGAATGGCGTAGACTTTTTTTTTTTTGAGACAGAGCCTCAGTTGTTTCCCTGGGTAGAGTGCTGTGGCATCACAGCTCACAGCAACCTCCGACTCCTGGGCTCGAGACATTCTCCTGCCTCTGCCTCTCAAGTAGCTGGGACTACAGGCGCCCGCCACAACACCTAACTATTTTTTGGTTGCAGCAGTCGTTGTTTGGTGGGCCCAGGCTGGATTTAAACCCACCAGCTCAGATTTATGGAGCTGGCACCTTAGCTGCTTGAGCCACAGGGGCCGAGCCAATGTGTAGAATTTTTATTTATCTATTTTTTTTTTTTTTAGAGACAGTCTCACTCTGTCGCCCTCAGTAGAGTGCTGTGGCATCGCAGCTCACAGGAACCTCTAGCTCTTGGGCTTAAGTGATTCTCTTGCCTTGTTTATTTTAAACTTTACCTCTGTTCCAGAGTATTCATCTCTGACGACATCCATCTGTCTCTTAAATAGTTCCAGTACAGCACTGTAGACCAGTTCATACTGTTCCTGATGAGTGTCACAAATAGGAACAAATGAAAAAAAACAACAACAACAAAACAGCATGGTGAACTACCGAGCCAGATTTTAGCGCTACGCCCACCACTCAAATCCTAATATAGCAGATCTGAAAGGACCATCAACGTAAACTTAATAATAATACCTTACATTTGTGTAGCCCGCTTCAGATCTCAAAGCACTTTTATGCTACTAGAAATAAATGGTTAAATATTTGATCTACGTCTGGCTAATGTACAAGGATCTTGTGACGTGTTTCTTTTATATTCTAATCCCACTTTGTTACTTATCTTTCCCTTGACCATAATCCCTCTAATTCTGTTTTCCATGTTACATTTTAAAAACTGTATTTCACCCTGAGTGCACTTTTTGTAAGCCATCTTTTCTGGATAAAGGTACACCGTAGTTGGTGTATACATAGATAGCTTCAATAGACATTCTTTAACTTGACCTTCACAATTGCTTTACAAATTACATAGACAATATTAGACCTATTTACAGATGATTTGTCCGAAGCCATTCAGAAGTGATTTACAGCACTTGGCTTAGAAAGTGAATCTTCCAACCCTTAGTTTAATAGTCTTAGATGTAATTGCCGAAAAGTCATCCTATTAAAGATACCAAAGAGAAGCTAACCACTGAATAAAGTTTGGAAATGTGTGGTTATGAAAGGATTTCATGACAGAAATGAGACCTTTACCACCACAAGACTTATGGGTTATTAGCACTCCATTTTCTCTGCACCTGCTCAAACATTTGATGTTGGATTCACTTTTTATCGGAATGGGTCTACACGGGGTTTTCCTGGATACTTTTTTATAATCCTATGCAAATAAAGAATAACTTTTTTCAAAGATAATGTAGCAAGAAACGATGCAGACTCTGTGTCGCCCCACACAGCTGTTGCTGTACTCTGTCATTGTTTTTTTAAGAGAGAAAGTCAGACAGGAAGCAATCGCCCCATTGCAGGGCCATTTCCTGGTTAGAGCAGTGTCAGAAAAAGCAGCTATGACTGCTAAGATATTTGTTGGCGATAATGCCAAAATAAGAAGGCTATTTCAGCGGTCTTCCAACTCTTAACAATAGACCTTACATTCAAGTTTTTTTTTTTTGAAATAGGGTATGGTTTTATTAATTGAATATTACAATTTCCATAACTCGGTTGCATGCTTCCTGGAGTCCTTAATACGTGTACACGAAATAGCCTTCTTTCAAGCCTGAGCCCTAAACTAGCTAAGACTTTCATTTCATAGGAACTTTCCTCCTCACAGGTTGAATATAGAAAACACCTACAGTTACACATGAAAAAAAATTAGTTTTTTTCCACCAGCTATTAAGTGGAAAACCTGTGTAGGCTAAACGGATGGGTTCAGAATAGCTCTTAATTTTTTCCCTTCGATCCACAACTTCTGCATTAAAATACCTGAACTGCCATTGTCACTTGCTCTGTCTCTAAACGTCTGTGCAAGTTCATTTATAAGTGTTTTAAACACTTCAAGGTCTTGCTATTTAAGTAGTAAAATGCAGTGCTTACAAATTATGTAAAAATGCCTGTTACGTGTAAACATCAATAAACATTTGACGAATGAATGAATGGGTACATGCCAAATGCTATATTAAAGACAGCATTAGAAATGTGGGTAAAATTATTGCTATAGAAAGATGGATGAATGAATATTGTAGACGGAGAGGTTTGAGCTAAGAAGGGAAGTGCATTCCCTAACAGAGTGAATAGGATAGACTAAAAGACTTTGGTATATAAATATAGTATGACTGTAATTTTTCTTAAAGAATGCATGTAATAAGGACCACAAGAAACTATGGACAGGCCAGGTGAAGTGGCTCACGCCTGTAATCCTAGCACCCTGGGAGGCCGAGGTGGGTGGATTGCCTGATCTCACAGGTTTGAGCCACAGCGAGACCACATCTCTAAAAATAGCCAGGTGTTGTGGCGGGCGTGTGCAGTCCCAGCTACTTGCGAGGCTGAGCCAAGAGAATCACTTAAACCCAAGAGTTTGAGCTTGCTGTGAGTTATGACACTATGGCACTCTACCAAGGGTGACAAAGTAAGACTCTTGTCTCAAAAAAGAAACTATGGAAAACTAGTAACAATAGCTCTCTGCGGGTAATAGGTATATGGTTGATTTTATTTTTATTTTTCAATGTTTCCTAAAATGATCACATGGACTGCATTCTACAAATTCTATTGCCACTCCCTGAAGTAGAAATTACAAATTCCTGATTTTCTGTGGCTTCAGAGATTATTTTCATTACTACAAAATTTCAAGTTACATATCAGCTATTTCTTTCGAATAAGTCAAGTAGCTTGTTAAATTTTTCTCAGCATCTTTTGTAGGAAATATTATATTGGTTTCTTAATATTTTATGAATAAACAATAAAATATAAGGAATGAAAGGAATTTGATACAGAATTGATCCTATATCCCTATACAGAGGTATAGAAAAAGATACTGGAATATTCAGAGTTAGAGAAGATGGCAATGGACTTGGAAGCCCTTCATAGTAGTGTTATATCTGAGCAGTCAGCTATTTTGTTTTTGTTTTTCTGAGACAGAGCCTCACTTTGTCACCCTTGGTAGAGTGTCATGGCATCATAGCTCACAGCAACCTCAAACTTTTGGGCTCAAGCGATCCCCTTACCTTAAGCCTCCCAAGTAGCTGGGACTACAGGCACCAGCCACAATGCCTGGCTATTTTTTTTTTTTTTTAGAGACAGGGTCTCGCTCTTGCTCAGGCTGGTTTCAAACACGTGAGCTCAGGCAATCCACCCGCCTCAGCCTCCCTGAGTGCTAGGATCACAGGCGTGAGCCACCACACCCAGCCTCAGTCAGCTGTTTTTAATGCCTTTCTATTAAACATAGAGAAAACCCAAACGCGTTCGGATTCCTTCCCCACAGTCCATACCTGAGTTTGAACTAATGAAGGCCTCTGTGTTCGCATTTCCTGGATCAAACTAAAAACACTGAAGTTCTCAGGAATTATCTATCAAATGAAAGGGGAAAATATCTTATTCCTTTTGATCCCCTGTTAATAAATGATTGCCCCTCTCTCACAGTCTTGTACTTCCGTGACAAGTGCTCTCCTAACATGAGATAGTATCAGAAGGAGAATGCATCTTTAAAACAAATGAGGTTTTTTATCCCTTGCAACATGATTCTTAGAGCCTGGTCCCTGGAAAAGATTGAAAAAATCTTTTCAGAATGATTTCACATGGTGTAATCAAATTTCTACTAAAGATCTAACGAGGGACAAGGGCTCTGTAGATGAGCAAGGATGAGAGTTTTACAAAACGAAAGAAGGCAGCAGATACATTTTAAAGTCAGCAGCCCATCTTTGAAACTTCCCATTTCCTGTGAGACATGAAAAATGATTTATAGATTAGAATGCAAAGTTTGATTACAGTCCGTTGGTCCATCTACTGAAGCAGTTTAGATAAAGGAAGGGTAACTGGAATTTAGAACAGTGGCCCTCAGACCTTAGCATGCCTCAGATGCACCTGCAGAGCCTGCTGGGCTCTGCCTCTGGACGTTCTGATTCAATCCACTGGGGTGGGGCCAAACACTTGGCATCTTTAACAAGGTCTCTGGTGATTCTGAGACTTCTTGTCTGGGTAAGAACCACCTACTCTAGGAACAAATTTAATCAACTGACAGGGTGAGTCTATAGGTAAATATTTTAGAAAAGATGAATCACGAAGATAAATATTTTGAAAAACCAAACAATTACTAAGTCTGAAAGGAGTAATCAAATAGGAAGAACTTGTGGGGAGAAACTCACCCCATCTTTCAGCAACATCCATGTGTAATCGATGGCACAGATAACGCCAGTCCTTCCACAGCCGGCGCTGAAATGAAAGGTCACAGTAGCTTGTACACTGGGGGAGACTAGATCATTGACCTTAGCTGGGAAATTGTGCCTCCAGATTTGAGGAAGAAGAAGAAGCCTAGAGGCCTTGAAACTTTTCAAACCCCGCCATTTCCAAAAGCACATCTGTGAACCCCGGGACAAGTACCGTTCACAAGTAATAACAGAAAAATATGAATTTAATGCTCAGATTGGATTTAGTAGTGTTTGTTTCTGCTGTTGACCTTTCCCTTTCAATCACAGAGTCCCCGCCAGACTCTGACATCGGTTTGTCAGAAGGCTCATGAGTCAGAAGGCTCATGCCCAGCGTCATACCTGCAGTGAATGCATAGGGGCACACTGTCATCCTCTTGGTAAGAACGCACATCCCAGATGAGCTCAAGAATAGGATCTATAGACGAAGGCACATCATGGTCTGGCCAATTCTTGTAATGAAACTGATAGATAGTTCGAGTTTCCTATTCAAAATAAAAGTTTCAAGGTTAGGCCTCCACCTAACCTCAGTCTGACTTACTCAGTTGTATCTATATTGTTTTTTCAATTTATTCTCCTTTCTTCTCTATAGCTCTTGGGTGAGCAGGTGTTTTCTGAGAACAATTAACAGTGATTTCAGGCCACTTACTATTAGCCCCATTCACAAGAGGAGGTAAATCTGAAAATAGTTCAAGCTACGGCTTCCCAACGTGTGTGCTTCACATGGGTCAGAGGCAGCTAATGTGTTAGGCCCCTTTGCCTTAGAAAGGCTGAGCAGGGCCCAGGGCAGCCTGATCTCTCACGTTGGTCCCTGGTCTCTATTCGCGGTTTAGCCTCTGTTCCCCCTGCAAACAGTATCATTTTAGACATGTGCTGTGGTGTGGAATTGATTGGGGAAACATCACACCAAAGATTTCTAGACTATGAAGACTTGTTCAGGGCATCGTTTCTTATGATGAGAAGAATGAGAAAACTACCCATTTTCTTCTGCCCAGGCTGAGTCACACACATATTTACTTACCTGCCTGATCTCTGAAGGCTTTTATCACTCCATTTTATACTTACACTATTGAACTCAGCTTTTAGAGTCCTGATGATATAATCAGATTTCCTTTTTTCATCTTCCTATGAAGAAGCAGATTAAACATTAGTAATTTCAAAGGCGAGCAAGCTCTATGTAAACTAAACCCTGGAGCCTTTGCTCAAGCATAATGGGAACAGACTTTATACTCACACAGGATATAGAGAAAGGGCCAAATTGCAGCTGCTTCTCTCCTGGCTCAGCCCAGTACCGCTCACACTTTTTCTGTTGCACAAAGCACAATGCAGTGATTTCCCTCCATCTATTCTAGTCTCCCCTGGGAAATACAACCCACTCCCTCACCCAGAAGCAAACTCAGCTCTGTGTCCTTCATCCTACGTCGGGTTCTTCTAACCCCCTATCACTGTAATCTGCATCTTGGAATCTCCAAGGGTGGGGAAACAAATATTAAAGGATATAAACTACAGACTTCTTGGAAGCCTAGAAAAGTGGAAATAGGAATTTTGGACCTTTTTTCAGTATATCAAAAGGACCAATGAAAATTACACGTCTACTAAAACAAGTGTACAAGCTAAGTGAGATCCCAGGTTCCCCTGGCTTTGATTAGAAGTATCAGCCCAGAATGACAACAGTAGATTAGAACAGTGGTGGCCGGTAAAAATAAAACAGGAGCCACCCATGTAACTCAAAGTGTTCTGAAAGTCACATTAAAAACTGAAAACAGATGAAATTAATTTTAATAATACATCTTAGTCCAATATACCAAGGTTTTCAATGTATAATCAATATAAAATAGATTATAGTTAATAGATATTTGACTTTTTTTTTAAACTTAGCCTTCAAACTCCATACTTTGCTGTGGATCCGTGTATGATGTGCACCTATGTTTTTTACCCCAAACTTTGAGGAAAAAAATCTCCTGTTTTAATTTTTTAAAGAGGGACAGAAGTGGCTATATAGGGGTCCCTTCTCTTGCCAGAGGCCAGAGACATGAGGTGCAGAGCTGGGCACTGCCAAGAAGCTGGAGTACCCCAATTCACCCACTGTCCCCTCCCGGCCCACTCTTGTGCCCACACCCTCTCATTTCCTATCCCCATCCATGTCTGTGGGTCGGAACATGCAAGGGCTGCTCCACTGAGAACCCCAGTGGGCTTATTTCCTAGGAAGCTGGGAAAATGGAACAAAAAGAAAAGAAAAAAAAAAAAAAACTCCCCAAATCCCCAGAGTCCTGTAGCACTTCCCAACTGAAAACTAGGAAGATAACATAATTTTTACCTAGGCACAATTAAGGTCAGTTCTGCTGCCAGTTTTTCCCCCTTTTTTCTTCTGTCCTTTACCTTTAGGCACCAGGTACTAGAAAGTAACTCACCTTTCCCATTTCAAACTCCATGCATGCCATAACAATGATCTGGGGGGATGAAATAGGTAGAAACGTAAACATTTATATAGTTAGAGCTGTTAATCCATGAGCCCCCGAGTCAGAAATTGTTACTCATTCTTTCTTTGTTTGTTTGAGACAGAGTGTTGCCCTGTCGCCTGGGCTGGAGTGGAGTGGCATCCTCATAGCTCACTGCAACCTCAAACTTCTGGGTGCAAGTGATTCACCTACCTCAGCCTCTCAAGTATCTAGGACTATAGGAGTATACCAATATGCCTGGCTTATGTTTTCTACTTTTTGTAGAGATAGGGTCTTGCTCTTGTTCAGGCTGGTCTCAAACACCTAGCCTCAAGCTATCCTCCCACCCTGGCCTCCCAAAGTGCTAGGACTATAGGAGTGAGCCACCCCCCAAACCCATTAAGTTTCTTTTGTAACCAAAAAAGAAATTCTGTAATTTATAAGATATTGCTTGTACTCTTCCTTCTTTCTGTCCCCACTTCCCCTTTTTCTACTCAAATCAATAAGTTCTTTTTTTTTTTTGCAGTTTTTGGCTGGGGCTGGGTTTGAACCTGCCACCTCTAGCATTTGGGGCCAGCGCCCTACTCCTTTGAGCCACAGGCGCCACCCAAATCAGTAAGTTCTTGTTACCAAATGAGGCTGTCAAGATCAGAACATCTATTTTCTTTTTTTTTTTTTTTTTTGAGACAGAGCCTCAAGCTGTCCCCCTGGGTAGAG